GCAAGAAAACACAAATTATCCTAATCATAGTCAGCAAATATTGGATATAAAAGCCCGGGCCACACTATGGCAAATTAGTCGTGTCTCAGCGCTTCGCTGCAATCAGTAGGTGTTAAGAGACGACTCAAAGTTGGGGAACTATCTGGACTGATAAAGTTAATACGCTATCGTATCTCTATCAGGGCAGGTACTCCCTGACGCCCCAGGCTTTGACCTACAGTGAAAAGGCTTTCTAGATTTTCCTGTAGGGCTGGTTTGGTTATTTAGCTTTGCAGGGGTATACCCGACGTTTGACTGTTCGCCCTTTGTTTAGCCTCACCACCCGAAGGGACGTTATCTGGTCCCAGATGACGATGATGTGGTAATAACTAAATATTCATGTTTCCGTAATCTCCGTCCTGTAACAATATATATTAGCTATTTAAAACTGTTCTGGTGTTTCCCTGTTACTCCTCCCTTCCCGTTCTGCTTTTCAGGGTGAATAGTCGAGCTACACAGCGAAGCAGAGACGTTTCGTGACACTATTACTGCTATTACTGGAATTGCCTAGCGATATAGAAATTAAATTTCTACCATCTCGACAGGTGTTAACCCGCTGGATTTGCCTAGCAGCATAGAATAGCTATTTACAGTATTTACTTAACACGAATTTTTCCTACGAACGTGCGGAAAACGCGTTTTCACGCACTGATTTGCGTGCGGAAAGTACCACTTTTCCACACTGCGTGCGTGAAAAAAAATTTACCGCACGGCGTGCGCGAAAAAAGTGTGCGCGAAGAAAGTTTTTCACGCACGCTGTGCCCGAGAAAAGTTTTTCACGCACTGACTTTTTTTTTTCAATTTTTCTCTTCATATCATGCTTGTCAAAAATTTTAGATTTTTTTGAAATTCCTCCACCGTTTTTTGTCTTCAAGAAAGCTATTAGGTTTATGTACTGACGAATATCGACCTCTTTAACGAGTTGTATATACCATAAATGATTAATTCTACTTATAATAAAAATATGTAATTGTTAATGTTCTGTTGTTAAAATCATTGCATTACTAAACTTGATTAAAAAATCACATTTTTGATCATTTCTCTTATCAGTAGAGCCAAAAACAAACAAAAAAACAATATATCAATTTCCGCACGCTCGTAGGAAAAATGTTGTACCTAACACGAGCGTAAAGTATCTTTTCCGCGCTTACGTTGCGTGCGGAAAAGTATAACTTTCCGCACTTGTTAGGTAAATAACTATTTCCGCGCGAGTCTGCTGTTGGAGCAGCCGAGTGCAGAAAAACATTTTCTGCAAGTGTTAGGTACAATAGTTTTTCTACAGACATGTGAATAAGTATACCTACGTAATTTGTAGTTATTTCTTATGATTATTTTTTTTGACAGCCTGGCGGAAAATTTTTCCGCAATAGTGCGGTAATTTCCGGTTGCCCACCTATTTTTCAATAAGTAGAACGTTTTAGACGATATAGTCCAGGAGGCAGTGAAATTTTTTAGCACTTATTTTCCCAGTTGGTGTATATTAAATAGTTTGTTCTCTTGGTGATACAAAACAAGAATATTTGAGTTTTGCAAAAAATTTCGGATGGATTCACAAGATCAATGAAAAATACAAGTAGGTACACTTATTTCCCAGTCATAAATATTTCACATTCACTACAATAGAACATAAAGTATATGAAAATAGCAATTTGGCTTATCTCAGAGATCAGAGAGTGGAAAGTGAGTCTGGCGGAAATTTTTCGGATCTTCAATTTTTTATCCATGCTCACAGGTTAGCCTATTTTTTCACGTAACTTCAGTATACTTCTCATTAGTAGACCTATTTTTATCACTGGAAAAAAAGGGCCGTGCATTCGTAAGCTTTGCTCTAACGCATTTTGCGCCTCAACCCATCGGAAAGCCCCCCCCCCAAAAATATATGAATTTTGCTTAGAATTACCAACCCTACAACTCTATCCATGTTGCCTGACTGGGAAAATAAGTGCCGAAAATCGTCACTGCCTCCTAGACTAATAGGGACTGTTTGGTGGAGTATTTTTTTTTTGTCTGGCATTTTCAGAGCTGAATGTGGCTAGTTAACCGATGAGAGTATAAGTGCCTGCTCCCTATTCGAAATGTCCACAGAATGTTTTGCGGATTTGCTCGATTTCGAACTGTGATTACCGTCTGGCGATTTTTCAGCGTTATTTTCACAACAAAACCTTTCATTCTCTTGATTGCCAGACAGAAAATAAATGCGGAAAGTTCTATACATTTCTTTTGCAAGTTGACACTCATCCCCACATTTTCAGCCACTGAAAAGCATCTGTCATTTTTTATGAGTGAATTATTTATCAATGTCAATCTTTTATTCAGAGGCCTGAAAACTTAAGATCATTAAAAAAATGCTTCATGTAAATGAATTTTTTTCTTCTCAAAATTTTCAAACGGGTGGCAGGCATTAAAATCACCCATATCCTCATCAGCTAATCAGCCACATTCAGCCCTCAAAATGCCAGACAAAATTACTCCACTAAACAGTCCCTATCTCAGGGTCTATTTATCCTGATTGACAAATGAATTGATTGAGGAATTGGTCGACTAGAAATTACTCTTCTAGAATGATTCTCATGTCGATTGGAACAGAGCTTATGGTCATAGGGGAAAGAAAATGATAGCAATGATTTTTGACTCTGTCTTTTATTTGAACTTTTTCAAAAACTCCCTGTTTTCGAGATATTAGACTGTCTCAAGTTGAAACTAGAGTTAAAAGGACCACCATGTATTATACGGCCTTTGGTATGACCCAATTTAGTAGCTCGTTTTTATTCTCTAACCAAGTTACTCTATCTTCTCCCAAAACTTTCGTATTTTGCATGAGAATTAGGGATGTACCGGAATTCCGGCGGTACCACTAAATCCGGCCGATCCGGCGTAGTTCCGGCCGGATCGCAACCGCGATCCGGCCGGAATTTTTGAAAATTTTGAAATAGGTTAAATAATAAATTTATAAGCGGAAAGCAAGAAGAATACTTAGATCTTTATTAAAATTAAAGTTGTAAACCATAACAATATTTTTTTTAAACATAAACACTCGCATAAACATTAAATTCAGGTATGGATTTCAAAAAACTTCCATACTTTTGACATTTTTAACTTAAACCGAATTTTCGTGACGAACTAATTCCATGATTCCATGATTTCCATGAGCTCAAACGCTTCGCGAGAAACTCATGACGTCATATTAAACGTAGTTCGCCGGAAGCATGGACGCAAATTCAAGCCAGTGGTCAAACTCATGACGTCACAATTGAACTATTGATGAACAACATTCGCGAAAATTCGGTTTTAGTTGGATACACAGAAACACAAAACAACTGTAATTACACTGGACTGAAAATCGTTTACGTTCTACGTCCACAAGCGTTTGAGTCAGATGTCAAATAAACTCGGGGATTCCCCAATTTGCTTGAAGGAAGCAGCCAAACTTTAGGCGCTTTCTTTTTTTCCATCGAGCTATTCTCCATTATGAGTAAGTCACCTTGATTTCCTACGTACTAGAAAGAGATAGTCTGCTCATCTGTAGGTTCGCCGGTAAAAAAAGAATGTGCCATTTCAAATTATTATTAAATTGCAGAAAACTATCGATCCGGCCGGAATTCCGGCGGTCCGGTCCGGCTAGCAGCCGGAATTCCCGTTCCGGCCGGATCGGCCAAATACCCGATCCGGTACATCCCTAATGAGAATCGTGAATTTTGTTTCTGAGCTGAATGAGGATTGAGCTGGTTTTCTTTTTCTAAGCTACAACAACCTGGTGCATGTGGACCCTCGACCACCCTAGTCCCAAGGCAAGGAAAACCCCATACAACAGCTTGATTTATTTTCTGTGACATGACTTTCTGGGTTCATGTATTTTCATCTCTTTCTCTATCTCATCTACTATGTTGTCTCTTAAATATCAATCAATCAAAAATTAACAATCATCATCATAGGTGATCACTCAAAAATTAAGAAACCGCAGGAAACAAAAATGGAATAGTGACCAAATAAATGAATAATAATTTAGATATAAGCTCTAATGATTCTTGACGTATTGAGCCTCTAAAAAAGGAATGGAAAAAAAAGTAGAACACAGAATAATTTCTAAGCTTTGTTGTGTCACTTTATTTTACTTTATCTACAAGCGTTTGGTTATGACGTTTTTACCTAAACATTTTTCTAGTATTTGAGTTATGTCATTAGACTCATCATAACACAACTAATGGTGTTATGGACTAGGTTATGAATTCATAACACAACTAGTGGTGTTATGGACAAGGTTATGAATCTATAACACAACTATTTTTGGTGATTTGACAAATGTCAAAGTTGAACCTGTAAAGGTGAAATGAAGGTAGACAATTACTAATAAACGAAAAAAATTGAAAAAACATTCCTATTTTTCGCTTTGAAGATAAAACATTCTACATCACACGTGCGTTTAAACATGACTACAAAACTCGTGTTAATAAACGCACTTGTAATGTAAATAACTATTTTGTACACGGAATTTATTTTACTCATAAAGATTGTTTTGGAGAAAGTAATCTATATTATTGCAGTTGCCTAGTTATCTGGCTAGTTATAGACAAACTCCAAGATAAAGATATCAACAGCAAAGCATGGTTATAACAAACCCAAAAATGTACTACCTAGGACAGGTTAGTTTGTGACAAAAAGCATATGGGAAAATGTTAATTGCTAAAAAGGAATTGAGTACTACAATATAACTAACTCAGTACTATAAATAAGTTTATTATAGCTCAACTCCTATGAACTGAAATTGAGCTATCTCTGCAAAGCTTCACGTTTCGGGAAGCCCGTATTGAGCCAGCAGCTAATAAAGGAATTATAAGGGGAATCAGAATTTAGATAGTATATTTTCACAGTGCAAAAGCTTAAATGTGGTCTATAGGCTCTATAAAAAATTATTCTATTAATTCAACACTTGAATTGATTTAAAAAAGCTAAAAAGGCCTTACCTAAGTTCCTTAAACTCTCCACAGACTCCTCTCTAGTCATATCAAGCAACCTCGGCCACATTGTGATTATTGTAGCAGTTAAAATATAGTTATTTCTAAATAGAATTAATATTTACAGCATAATTTATATCTTAAATTAATTGAATTCATTTTCTGCCTTTCATAATTCAATATTCAAGTTTTGTATATTGTTTTGTGGTTTTGTTTACCGACTTTGGCACTTTGGCAGTGTCAGCCACAGCTAGTTTGACGTGCGTCGTTGTGGTGTTCCCCACGCTTTAGGCGATTTCAATTCGATTTGATTGCACTTTTGTCCTCGGAGCGCACTGGTTTTTGTTTGGCGTGCTCGACTGGATATTTCACTGGTGAATGGTGAATGGTGAATGTTCGATTTGTGCTGGTGTATCTCCGGATTTTCAGATAACAATAAATTTAGATGATTGAATTTATTTTTATTTGTGCCTAATTTGAAATTTTTAATAATAAAAATGAAAAATATGTGAACTGCATTATGCAAGATATTTCAAAATGAAATCGCCATGGCGCTCATGTCCACGTAAAAATCAGGGACCCGAACTGGAACGATATTGAACCGAAAACCGGAACAGAACCGTTTCTTTTTTTGCGAACCGGAACGAAGCCCATAGTCATAAAAATAGTTGTATTCCTTTCAAGAGCCTGAAACTACTAGAGCTACTCGCTCCGGTGTTAGTCGACCCCGATTTGAAAGGAATAAAATCTGTTTTTTTTTTAAAGATAAAAGTCAAAATGACATTATGTTGGCAATACAATGTAAAATTGTCAATGTTTCAAATTTTTTATGCAGAAAAGGCTTGTGTTACAACATAAGCCGCTTTCCAGCTGTGTGCTTCAAGCACGGTGCAGCACAGTGTTCTGTGTTTGGAACGCAAAAGTTAGCAGCTCTCGAAGCGCAGTACGGCTGGAACACGAACACGCGCTTGAAGAATTTGCGCGCGCAATAGCTCGATTGCGTGCTCAAAAGCGTCAGCTGGAAACCGGCTATAGTTACTAAATTTTTGACTTGGGGAATTATCTTTAAAAAAAAAACAGACTTTAGATGCGCTGGCCTTCATGCATTTAAATAGTTTGAGTCGTATCCGAACTCCGCTTCGCGTCGTTCGTATAACTGTGTTTGCGTGCGGAAAAGTAACACTTTGCGCACTTGTTAGGAAAATAACTATTTCCTACATCCGTGCGGAAAAATCGATTTTCCGCACTCATATGCGTACGGAAAATGAGTTTTTCCGCACGGTGCGGTAAAACTTTTTTTTTGACATATCAGTGCGGAAAAAGTTTTCTTCAACAACAATTTCGTGAGTAATTTCGTGAAGAAACTTTGCCGTGTAAAACGGCTCTAAGCGAGTAACGCCCCGGAGCTGTTCCGGAGCTCCTCCTAGGTGTGAAAGGAATACAACTATTGTTCCAAACAGGCCCTATAAGGATAGGCAATCCTGAGCCGCTTTCCAGTTCAGAAATAACACACCGGGTGTGAGTGCGATTTTATGGGTGTGACTGAAATGACAATTCTTAGGCGACAACTTTCGTACGAATTTCTGAACGCTTGGTGTGACCAATCGAGCATCTCCTCACAAAATCTATTAGGATTACTTTTTTTTGTTGTTCATTTTTTTAATTTGAAGGAAAAACTTTAATTCTTATTTGTGTTTTGATTATATTTGGTGAGATTATTGAGATTATGGGAGGAATGGTTGACATTGTTGACATAAAGACACAATCACACCGCAGCCACACCAAAAAATGACGGTGTGACCGGTGCAACACCTGGAGCGCGCCCAAAGTACTTTCTGAACGGCACAGAGTGGGCGCACTCGGTGTGCTTATAGCATTTATGAACGACTAGTGCGTCGCACCGGTGTCACACTCACACTGAGTGTGTCATTCCTGAACTCGCCCCTGTAGTAGTAGTAGTAGTAGTGTGTATTATCCTTGCGGTCGAGTAGGATCGTATGTCATTGGATCATATTCGGTTTGCATTCGGCTGTCACGCTTTGAGCGCTCCCGAGTTACTCCGAAGTACTCCAGCTACATTTTACCCGATCGGGTGAATAGTTTGGCGCTTTTGAGCTGCTCTCATTTTCCTCGCCCCTTTCCCTCTGAAGGACTTATCTTTTTGTCAAAATTGTCGAATCAGACGTAACTGATTTTCAAGCGTTCAAGTGCAAAGCGCATGGAGTATGATGGGTGTAATCCGGTATTCTTTCAATCTGAGCAAACTGATCGAACTCACTTGAGGTTTGTTTCAAACAATAGGCCCCTTGCATCAAATTTTTTTATTGCTGATTTTGATAATCCATGAAAAATAAGTCAAAAAGTGTTTTTTCTTTTTCTTGTTAGTTAAAAATTCACGGAGATACAACGCTTTGAAATGCCCGTCTGACGTCATATAATACGTTGTGACGTCGCACATGCTCAGTATATCTATATACAGGGTGTATATTTTAAGTGATACCACTATTGCTAGATCGGAAATGGTAAGAGCTACAAGGTCGGTTAAATTAGAAAAAAGTTGCCTTTTTTGATGCCCATTCTAGATTTGTTTACAGTGTTGCCAAATTCCTTTTACTTTACGAAATACAGGGTGATTTCTAAAAAGAGCCTAAAATTATTTCATCAATTATTTCGAAAACTATTGATATTCGAGACACAACTTAAATTTGAAAGTTTTATAATTTTTTTCACTCTACAACATGGTATATTCAAATTTTAAATCCGACGTTTCGTGATCGAGCTACCATCATCAACTTAATTTTTTTAACTACGTACCTAAATTTTTTATGTCATTTTTAGAATGGGAACAAAGGGCGCTTTCTAAAAATGACATAAAAAATCCAGTTCCGTATTTAAAAAAAATTAGTTGATGATGCTAGCTCGATCACGATACGTCGGATTTGAAATTTGAAGATGCCATGTTGTAGAGCAAAAAAAATTATAAACCTTTCAAATTTAAATTGTATCTCAAAAATCAATAGTTTTCGAAATAATCGATGAAATATTTTTGGGCATTTTTTAGAAATTACCCTGTATTTCATAAACTAAAGAGAATTTGGCAGTACTGTAAACGAGTCTTGAATGGGCAACAAAAAAGGCAGCTTTTTTCTAATTTAACCGCCCTTGTAGCTCTTACCGCTTCGCGATCGAGGGCTTTTATTTAAAAGTTATTGTGCATGAAACTATTTGCCAAAAAGCAAAATTATGCAAAAAATATTTGGATAGTTTAATAAATTTAAATTTATAGGTCGAGTGGTATACGGCTAGATTATTTCCTGAATAATTAGGATTGAATTGTTGGCGTCAATCCTATCCAAAGAGTTCTATTTATTAAAAATGTTAGAATATTTCTATCAAAATTCTGTCACAAAAGGTAAACAAAAATTTAATCGCTGATAAACAAGGTCTTGTGAAATAATCACTTATTTAAACAAAATTCATTCAAAAAATGACGTTGTCTGATGGGTCTATTTTATAATGAATTAAATAATCAATAGTAATATAACTAGTGCAATGGAAATTATTGATAATTTTTGGGAAATTTGCCCGAATGCATTTTTAGTTGAAAAAGAGCACAAGTACACGTAGTGCACGAGTGCCTTTTTCAGTTAAAAACGCATGAGTGCAAATTTGTCGAAAATTATAAATATATTTCCATTGCACGAGTTGTATTTAATGAGAGAATTTCATAAATCAAAAATTTAAATTTTTTGTCAAAAAATGTCATAACACCAGTTTTCGCACCAGTTAGTATGCAATTTTCTGATAATTTGCACTAGTGCAAATTATCGCGTAATTACAATCTGATTGGTTCAAATCAACAATCAAAACATGTCAATTTATTGTTGGAATACCAGTTTTGACAGATGTATGAAATTCTCAATTTAATTTTCCATGCAAGTACCCTATTGTCATCCGGTTTTACAACGATTTCATTGGCCCTGTTTTTTTGACACCTCATGAACAAACCTTATGTGATTAGAAATATTAAAATCAGTTTGTTCATTGGTTTGTTCAGATCGAAAGAATCTGGAATGTTGAGAACAGACCTGTTACGGCCCATCCTCAATCAATCTGGTAGCGAAGTGGCACTTCGGCACGCATGCTAGGATAATGTTGTTTAACGTTGGCATCCTCAATTCAATTCCGTGCTGGCATGCACGTCGACTCCGAAGTGCAAGCTTGCAAGCTTCGATGCGTGCCGACATGTGTCACGCGCAGTACGGTAAAAAATAATTCAGGTTATTCTTGCGTTCGGTATTCTGCTCGAAGAGCAGAGCGGAGCTGTAATCACTTGACCAGCGAGCGCACAGAGCAGTTAAACGCCTTTAAACGCTGTATCAGAGGGCTCGAAATTTTAATAAACGAACGTGAATGAGCCTGCACCGAGTACACTTTTTAAATAAACGAACGGTAAATTTATGCTCGGAGAACTCAGATCAAAATACCGCACGCACGGTTCGTGACCGTACTACACGCACAGCAGACTGAAAATTGACAGCATTGAGGATGGGTATCAAATTCTTAGCACGCGTGCCGAAGTGCCACTCCGCTACCAGATTGATTGAGGATGTAGCTTTAGCAGGTTTATCGTTTTCTGTTTACACTTGGTAGTGTACTCTGCCTATGCTCCGGTATCAACTGTCAGTCCTGAATTTACTGGGCGCCGTTCCGATATAATTTCAGTACAGTAGATTCAGTCGATTCAGTACTAATGACCACAAGAGTACGCTGTTGAAGCCCTATAAGTGGAACTATTCGATTCAGGCTATGTTCCGATATCAACTGCCAGTACTGGGTTTACTGTACTAATTTTACTGTCATTTGCCGTTTCAATTTCAACAGCGTACTCTTGTGGCGATTCAGTATTGAATCGACTGAATCCAGTGTTTTTTAGGGGAGCCTTAACAATAAGTATTCCCTAAAATGACATTTTTACATGGAGAAATGTCAGTTTAAGGAATACTTGTTAGGGCTCCCCTAAAATAGTTGGTGGAAACGGCCATAAATTCAGTACTGACAGTTGATATCGGAACATAGGCTCAAGCGATTCTGAAACAGTTTGGAGTAATAGTAATTTGGAGTAATAGTCGCAGATTATTAGAACCTGTTCAGGATTTTATCTTTTGCCTTGAACGACTTCGGATGTCTCGGAATTATGGTTCTTGCTTGTTAAATTCCTAAGAGCCAGTTTCTCAGTATCGAGTCACTTCCGGGTTAAGCATAACTCCAAGGGTAAAGCATGTAAAATTTAAGGATAAAAATACATTTTTTTGCACTGATTCTGCGAAAGGAAATCACTATCAGTTATTTTCTTCTAGTTAGAACCGAATTTTCGCGACGAACTACTTCCATGATTTCATGAACACCAACGCTATCGCGAGAAACTCATGACGTCATATTGAACATAGCTCGACGAAAGCATGGGTGAAGCTTCTAGCCAGCGTTCAAACTGATGACGTCACAGACACACGGTTCGTCCTTGGATGAACTACTACATTCGTCGCGAAAATTCGATTTAGCTTCAGTCTAGGTCAGAGAGTGGTTTGATCGTAAGCAGCTGAATGGTTGCACGAAAACGCCTTTTTCCAATAAGAGGAAGAGAGAGATAGAGAGTAGGATGGGATAGAAAAAGATAGGCAGAATGGAACAATCGAGGGCACAATCAAATAAATAAATAAAAAATCTAGTAAAATGTAAGAAATATCAATTTTTGTTATGAAAAAAAAAGCGAATGGAATAATTGGACTAGTGTGAACATTGAGTGTGAATGAGAAATTTAAATGTCGACGCAAAGCAACGAGGGAACACAACACATGCAGATTTATCAAGGGATTTTCTTTGGTGATTTTATTTGTTTCTTGAACAATCCCTTGTCCTTTTAAATTTCAATTTGATGTTCTTGTCAACTTTATATTCAAACAAAAATTTAAAACCTTCCAAAATTAGCATGTACAAATAAAACCAAAAAAAACAACCCTTTTATCTGCAAACATAGCAACCAAACACCCACAAAAGTAAGTACCCAATAAAATATAATCATCGTTTTAAGCGAGTTTTAAATTACCTCTACAAACGAATGTTTATTTTAAGTTCCAGTGTAAAATAGTCAATCGGAGTGCCTACTTAAAGATGGATAAGCAAATCATGACTATCGAAAAGATGAGGAGCTTTGAGGGTTCAACAGATTCCTTTAATTCAGAGAAAAGTGCCAATCGCTCTACCAATGAGTTAAAAAGGTAAGTAATCATAAAATCAACCTCGAGCAAAGCGTCAGGTCTAGGCTAGATCATCCACTGTTCCAATTTCATAGGGGGTCTTGCAATTTGATAAACGGAAGCCCATGCAATCTGAATCTAGACCAATTCACTGATCCTGTTGATTCCAAAAGCAAATGTAAAGAAAATGTTCCAGAAAATCCTCCACATCCTTGCAATTCCCTTAAAGCTCTCATCCTAGAAGCATCAAAAGAGAAATACAGGTTAATAATTTTTAGTATAAATATTTCTGCTATTTTTTTTTAATGCTTGCCATCCATAGAGGGTATAAATGCATATTCCAAACTTTTAGGGAAGGTAGTAGATTAAGTACATTCTCATCCAATTATAAACAAGTTTAAATGAACATGGGTCCTAAAACGTTTTGCTTGCAGATACAAGGTGTTCAAATCGGGTAACGGTTTTTAGTCATGAACATCCTGTACCTATAAACTGAAGCGTTTTCAGACACACATGTTTATTGAAACTCTTTCCGGTCTTGATAATAACTGACTAGAAGTTCATAATCCCTTTTCAGACCCTGTGTGTAGAGAATAATGAATCTATACCAGGTGGTGACCACAAGATTACTGACCAAGCTCTATCTTAGACATGGAAATCAATATTGATTTTAGCTTTGATTTTAAATTACATGGATGTATATGTATTATTCATATCCATGCAGAATAGGGTACTTGCATAGAAAATTAAACTGATTATTGTTTATTGTAAACTGTAGGAAATCGAAAAAAAATAGTTACTTTTTTTTAATTTCACCCAAATATGATTATTCCGGAAGTTATACAAATAATAAGTTTTTTATATATAGATATACTGAGCATGTGCGACGTCACAACTCACTACATATTATACCTAAGTTATGACGTCGGAAGGACATTTCAAAGCGTTGTATCTCCGTCAATGTTTGACTAACATCAGCCTATTGTCATCAAACGGATCATTTGATAGCTATAAGTATTGGAATTTGTCACCTTATTTAACAAAAACAGGATTGTATAAGTTGGCAAAAAAGATAGGGGAAGGAGTTTTAAATTTTAGAGTTGCAGCTAGATCCAACTTGATTCTTGTCTCTGGCAGAGTGAGGTCAAGTAGTGTGAATGAGCGGAGAGAGCTACAGGAGAATGGGGTGAATGGTGAACAGGAGTGCTATAAGGGGTGTGAAATGATCAATAATTTTGATACATTGGACAGGGTAGAGTCTGATTCATATCAGCAGGACTTGGAAAATAATCGTGAAGACTCATTTTTTTTAGGCGCGGGCTTAACTCGGACAGCTTCTCTCTAGTCCTTCTGAATGTGCAGTCTCTTCGCAATAAAGTGGATGAACTTCTGGTTTTTTTGGATCATTTACGCAATCCAGACTTAGTATTGCTCTGTGAGCATTGGCTTAGGCCCAATGAGCCAGTTCATTTGCCAAATTATACTGTATTGAGTAGCTATTGTCGACCTACTGTGCAGCATGGAGGGAAAATGTTTTTTATTAGGGACGAGTTTTTGGAATTGTGGTGTTTTGTTAATGTAGATAAATTTGACTATTTGTTGGAGGAAAGGGAATTTGAGTTTTCTATGATTTTCTGTAAAGAACTCAATCTCTATGTTTTGTGCATGTATCGCTCTCCGAGCAGTTTTTTAGGCGATTTTTTGATCAAACTTGAGATTTTATTGCTGGGTTTGGAATCAACTTCTACCATTATTTTGTGTGGTGATCTTAATGTAAACTTTTTGGAGCCAATGAATCCTAATACGGTTTTATTATCTGATCTCTTGTCCTCTTTTGACCTTAACTTAATTGTTGAGAATCCTACAAGAATCACTCCACATTCGGCCACTCTCATAGATTATGTATGCAGCAATGTGGAATCAAACAGTTTTCAAGTTCAGGTTGTGAATGCGGGAGTCTCAGATCATGAGGCAATTTATTGTACATTTGCAATAAGAAAGAAAAATGAGAATGCAAAAAGGTTTAAGAAGGGAAGGGTCTACTGCAAAAATAATTATGAAACATTTCTGCAATTGTGTATCGGCGAAAATTGGCAGCTGGTATTGAATAATTTTGAACCATTGGGAGAATTTCATAAATTATTATATAAGCATTTCGATAGAGCATTCCCCTTAAGAGTTTTAAAAAAGAAAAAGAAAATTGATAAGCCTTGGTTCACAAAAGGCATAAAGATATCAGCAAAAAACATGAGATCACTGCACTATATTAGGAAGTTTAGCATGAACAATCCACTATTTATTTCTTACTTTAATAAATATAGGAAGGTATATAGAAAAACAATCAGAATAGCCAAGCAGAACTATTATCATGATAGAATTGCGGGATCTAGGAATATACAAAGGGAAACCTGGAAGATCGTTAACGAGCTTCGGGGGAAAGGTAGTAAATGTGAAGATTCAGGGTCTAAACTTACATCAGCCAAATTAAATGATTTTTATTGTAATGTTGCAGGAAGTTTGTCTTCCCAAATTCGGGCTACTTATGATCATAGGTATTTCTTTAAGTATGAACCACCCTCAGGGTCCTTTTTTCTTGCTCCTACTGACATATTCGAAATAAATACTATATTTAAGGACATCAAATTAAATGCTGCTTCGGGTTGGGACGAAATATCAATAAGGTTATTTTTGAAACTTCCTATGCAAGCTCGTGAGGTTTTGGTGAGTTGCATAAACCACTCATTTTGTACGGGGGTATTCCCCACAAGCTTGAAATTGGCAACGATAATTCCAATATTTAAGGGGGGTGATGAGGAGTGTCCCTCAAATTATAGACCTGTGGCACTATTGCCAACGCTTGGCAAAATAATTGAAAAGATTGTTAAGAAGCGTGTTGTTGGATACTTAGAAAAAAACAACATTCTAGCGCAAGAGCAGTTTGGGTTTCAGACCTCCAAGGGGACTAGTGATGCCATTTTCTCGTTTCTGGAATCGCTGTACCTGAATCTTAACCATGCTGATGTGGCAGCAGCGGTTTTCTGTGATCTGTCAAAGGCATTTGACTGTGTTGATCATGGAAAATTGTTGTGGAAGCTGCAATCATACGGATTTAGAGGAAACGCTCTCAACTGGTTCGAGAGTTATTTGTCAGGCAGGACACAGAGGGTCTCTTTTGATGGTTCAATGTCTGGCGAGCAAGTGTTGAATTGTGGCGTTCCTCAGGGTTCTGTTTTGGGTCCAGTTTTATTTTTGTTATATGTCAACGACTTCGCAGGCCTTGATATCTCTGGCAATTTCATTTTGTTTGCTGATGACGCAACAATATTGTGGCATATTTGTGACAGCTCTAGATTACGGGATGCGGTCAGTAATGACATAGGTGTGATTAAACACTGGTGTGACGCTAATGGGCTGACATTAAATATTTCTAAAACAAATGTAATGAATTTTAGATGTAACCTTACTGACATCAGTCTGAATGACAGTTTATTAACTCCATCTGTGGAAAATAAATTTTTGGGTCTCTGGATAGATAATCGTCTGAAATTTGAAGCACACTTGAGGTGTTTGAGGAATAGGTTGGCATCTAATTGTTTTGCACTTAGAGTTATTTCTAGGGAACTGGAACCATGTATTGCCAGAAATACTTATTTTGCTCTGATAGAGTCTCATTTGAGGTATGGGCTGTGTTTCTGGGGTACTTGCTCTAAGCAGTTATTTAATGGCATTTTTTTGCTGCAGAAAAGAGCAATTAGATATTTATGTGGAGCCAACCCACGCGATTCTTGCAGGCCGCTATTCATTTCTAAAAATATTTTGACTCTCCCTGCATTATTTGTGTTGGAATCGGTCTGCTTAATTCACAGGAAACACAAAAGCAGTATATTCATATCGCATACAACCCATAACACTCGACAGAAAAATGATGTTAGCCTTCCTATACCCACGTCCAGCCAGGTAAGAGACTCTATCATTTTCAGAAGTCGCAAGTTGTTCAATCATTTGCCGTCGGGTCTTAAACAAATAAAGACTGAACGACAGTTTCGTAGGGGCGTCAGGGCGCTGCTTGCCCAAAAGACATATTACGAAATTGATGAATTTCTGGCGGACAGGTTTTAGATTTTTTTTTTTTTCTGGATTGTTCTGTTTGTAGTGTGCGTTATAGTTGTTAATTTGTTTTATTGTTCAAACTTCTGAGTCCGTTGTCTATTTTTTACTTTTTTTATTTTTGTTTTATTTTTTAAAGACGACTGAAAACGACTGATTTTTAGTTTTTAAGGCAATAATAATGGTAGATTGTGATAGGAACAGTATTGTTGTAATGTAGTACTTAAGGCATTTAAAAGATTTTTTCTCATGTTATGATTATGACATAGTATAAGTACTGATGTTAGTTAATAAGGCTGCTTTGTCAATAACAATTTAGTTGGGACAATAAAGCATAATTTGATTTGATTTGATTTGATTTGAAGAAAAAGAAAAAACACGTGTTGACTTATTTTTCATGGACTATCGAAATCCGCAATAAAAAAATTTGATGCAAGGGGCCTATTTCAGCATACAAATAATTGACAGTAGCTTCCGGTTTGACCAGAAGTCCCATAAACTTCTTTATTTCAAACCTTTATTATTATATTTCTGGATTGGACAAGAAATTCTGAGCACATTTTCATGCATATTTATCTATTTATTTATTTATTCGGAAAACTTTACAAACACTATAATAGTAATTACATGTAAAGTACATGTAAATACATACATACATACAAGAATACGAATAAAAAAAAAACAATTAACATTAAAAACAATGAAACATGGGAACTAATACTAAAATTAAAACTAAATAGGACCGACTTCAAAATAAACTAAATTATAAAATATAAAATCGGACCAGATGTTTGTTAGTGTTGTAACTCATGGAATGTTCTCGTTTATTCTCGAAGAACGTTCACGAACGATCGCGAACGTTCAAGACTTAGTGGGAACGTTCCTTGATAAAAATTAGCACAATAAATAACATTTATTTTCCAACACTGGGGTCCGGGGATCGAGAAAAATTCCCGCCAGTCGACCCAGGGTTTGGTTTCAGGGATGCGTGTGAATTCCAGTTTTTGTAGTACCGTTAGCCGGTTTTTCAATTAGTATTTATTTTAAAGCTTGCAAATAGGTCTGTTCGCACAGAAATAGTAAACCCGTCAAAGCGGATTTCATTGGTTGAAAACAATAGCAGTCAGAAACAATCAGAAAACTAGTTTCAGCCAAT